ATTTATAAAGTCTAGGCATAGCAGGGTAATTACCATATTTATAGTAATCAGTATAATTTGGGTGCTTTGCATGTGAACGTACATGTTTAAGTTTTGAATTTTTTTATTGAATAGTAAAATTATGTACCTTACGGTGAATTAACGTTAATTTATTAGGTCTAGGCTTAGGAGGGTAATTACCACATTTAGAGTAATTAGGACTATGTGTAGTAATTAATGATTAGATTTAGGGTTAACAAGATGTAGTTATTATGGTTGTAGGCAATAAAAATTGCCTTTAAATCCTTATCAGAGAAGTTCAGAACAAAACTGCTAAAACCTCGCCCGAAATAGCAAAAAGGGGGAAAACACTGATAAAAAGGGGAAAACGCAGATATCTCCCAAACCGTAAGGAATTTGGCGAAATGGAGGAAGCGAACCAAAGCCTTTGGCTTGGTTCAGATGGCTCCATCTCGTCGAGATAGGCGATTTTCATATATAATTCGTCCAATTCCGACTTACGGTTTGAAAGTTATGGCCTATTCTTCGATCCATGCTCAGGAGCTCGCCTGCAGCTCGAATTTCGCCTGCACGATCAAGACCCAAGTCTGCCTGCGCACCTGAGCTCGCCTGCAGACCCAGTTCGCCTGCAAGCTCGCCTGCAGACCCAAGTCTGCCTGTAGTCCCAAACTCGCCTGCAGACTCAGCTCGCCTGCAAGCTCGCCTGCAGACCCAAGTCTGCCTACAGTCCTAAGCTCGCCTGCAGACCCAAGCTGCAGACTCGCCAGCTCACTGTCAACTGCCCACTTGGAGTATGGGAACAGTTACATCAGTGGTCAAATCCCACAAATCAAGGGAGGGGGCACAGTACTCCAAGACCGTCAAGTGGCCGCTCACAGTACGAATGATTGGGCAGGTGTCGAGTCGACCTGAACATTCATAAATGCAGCTCACCTCGGCTGTCCGAATCAGGAGCCGGATCCGCCGGCATTCGGCGAGCTGTCCATGCCCACTCGAGTACCGGGAACCCGCTTTCCCACCTCTCTCGGCCTGAAGAGAGAAGACACGGTACTCCAGGCCCGTCGAATGAATGCTCACGGTACGAGTGATCGTACAGGTGCCAGATCAACCTGCGCGTTCATAAATGCAACTCAGCTCATTGGTCCAAGTCAAGAGCTGGAACCGCCAGCGCACAGTGAGCTGGCCCAATCCACTCGAGTAATGGACGGCCGCTGTCTCACATACGAGGATGGACCTTCCCGCTCCTAGGCGACAGGACGTGAAGCACAACTTATCGAGTGACGGTTCGTAGTACAGAGGAGCGACAAGATGTCTCTCAACAGTGTATGGTCACATCCCATGATTCAAGGAGCGGCCACGTCATCTCTCCTCTATTTAAGAACCTCGCCCGGCTACAGGAAAGGGGTTCACACATAGTTAATTGATTAATTCAATCAGTTAACGGAACCACCAGCTCTCGACTCCCAACAGAGTCGACGACAAGCTCTTTGCATAACTTTTGCACTGTAACATCTTCTCCTAGTTCCTGGCCCTGATCGCCGTCGAACTCGGAGATTCGAACTCCATCAACCCGAGCCTCTACTGCGTACTGAAGCTCGCCAGCAACTTCGATCAGATCGTCCAAGGGAAGCAGACTCGGCACGAGCACCGAGCGAGGCGTCCTATCACCACCGAGGAACCCACGTTAAACAAGGAGGGCATTCCCTCCGCTTCTGTTGTAAACATTTGATTTATTAGTTTGTAATAAGCCTTCTTATTAATACAAACGAAGCTCCCTGTTTTCGGGAGATCAAAATTTACACCTACAATGGTCACAATGATTATTAGATTAATTAGCTGATTAGATTAATTAGGGTTAGGTCTATGAATTAAAGTTCAGATTTGGGGTTAAGAAGATATGTAACTAATGTTACAATGATTAGGGCTAGGCTTAGGGTAATTGCCCTAGTTAGAGTAATTAGAATTAGCTTTATTGGAGTAAGTAGGTTTAGGTTTATTAATTAGTCTTTTCATTTAAGGATAACGAAATATAGTAATTAGTATCTAGATTTAAGGATAACAAAATATAGTAATTAGTGTTTTAATGGTTAGTGCTAGGTTAATTAGGGTAACTAGCCTAATTAGTGTAACTAGGGTTAGGTCTATTAATTAAAATTTAGAATTAGGGTTAAGAAAATATAGCAATTAGCATTAAAATAATTAGGGTTGGGTTTACTAGGTAATTAGGGTAATTAGAGTTAAATTTATTGAATATAATGTCATTTAAGGGTAGTTATCATTAGGATTAGTTTAGGATAATGATTTGTCAATAAAGTCATTAAAATTGGGTTAGTATTGATTAGCTAGGGTTAGGTTAAATATTGTTGATAAAGAAATTGACAAAAGAAAACCCTAGATCAACACTTAGGAATTTCTCAGAATTAAAGCCATTACCTTTCTCACATATCTGATGGAGAAAGAGGCATTGGTGGCTACTGGAGAAAGAGGGGTGGTAGTGGCGGCGGTCCTGCTAGAGAGGGGTGGTGGCAACAGGATCTGGTGAGGAAAGATATAGGTGGCGATTTCTTCTAACGGAGAAGGAGAGGCAGCGGAGATCTGTAAAGGCGAAGGAGCGGAGGGATGACGATGACGTGGAATCCTATTGGGGGGCAAAAAATTTTTACCGCAGATATGAGTTCTCTTAGGGCTCGTTGGTTTGCACGGAAGTAACTGTGAAATAGCAGAAGTAGAGGAAGTAGAGGCTACTTCTGCTACTTCTTGGCAAAAATGTATGTTTGTTTCTCTTGAAAATCTACTTTTGCTACTTCCTTAAATGATGATGCAGCATCTATGTGGCATCTCTATTTCCTTGATATTTTTCCATCTTCAAATGCACTGAAATATGTCAGAAGTTGATGTAGGGTGGGGTCCACAAGGAAAAAAGATTCTCAAATATATAATTAAGAAGCGATCAGATTATTTTCACAACCGATTCTCTCACAACCGATTCTCAAATTTATAATTATTCGTTTATATTTGTTACTTGAACAAAAAAACTTCTGTTAGGTTGCTTCCTGATTGGATAGTTGCAAGGAACTGCTTATTTGCTACCAAATCAATGTTTTCAATACATGTGCTTCCATCAGATGCAGGTTGCCAGCTTATTTCTACTACATTGTCCTGCTTTTGAATTATTGATGTTGTTTTACTCGTGATGTAAGCTTTAATTTCTAACTTTTAATTACATCAATCTTCGAGGCGTGTGGTGTGTTATAATACTTCCATTTCTATTTCTATTTCAATGACAATCCAAACAAGAATAAAATGGAAGCAACATGTATTAATTACTTCATTGTAATATTTTCAAATATTATCCAAACAAAAAAAATAAATGAAGAGGAAGAAGTTCTACTCCCATTACTTCTAAAAATATATGAAACAAAAAAAAATGATATTTCCACTACTTCCTATTTCATAGTTTTGAAAGTTAATTCCGTAACTTACTTCTTACTTTTAATACTTCCATTATCCAAACGGGCCCTTAGGGAGGGGGGGGGTATTCATTGATGTAAATTTAGGAATAATGGGATAATTTTAGAACAACACTTTTTAGTGTTATTCATTGGGATAATTAGGTATGGATTCAACTTTATGGTGTTATTGGGTTGTTGGGATAATTGTAGGACAAATACTCCACTTCCCCTAAAATTACTCCAATATAATAATATAGCATAATATATTATATTAAAATTAATAAATATGTTAGTATATTTGATTTAATTATAAAATATAATATAATATAAACCATGTTATGTGATTATATTATATTTTATTGTATTAATATAATAAATTTATTATTGTACTATAATATAATACATTTTAGATATTTTTTATATATCATAGTACTTATCATATAATATTATACTATATTTTAATTACAATATAGTATTTTAAATAATATTATATTAAATAAAAAATATTATAATATTTTATGCGATAAATTTTAACCTATGACTCTGTTCTAATATATTAAATTAGATATTATATTATATTAATTATTATATAGTATAGCATGCTAATATAATATAATATAATATAATGTAATATAATAATTAATAATATTAATTAGTAATTATAGTACAACATATTAGATTTTAATTTAAAGTAAAATAATGTTTATATTATAATAATATACTAAATAGTATACTAAACAAATTAGATAAGTTAATTTAGAAGTAATTAATAGATAAAATTATATTTTAATATGGTGCCACATCATCAATTATCCTATATGAATTGTCAAATCAAAGGCTCAAATTGTTCCATTATCCCACTTATCCCACTTTACCCCACTCAAAATATCTCAAAGGGATAAAATTATTTCATTGGAATAATTTTCCCACTTGGCCCCAATTTGTCCCAACCAATAACCCCCTTTACCGTGGGAGAGCGGCCTCAACGACCATACTTTTTTTGGTGAGACCAAAAAGACATGTTAGAGTATTTTTTTTTGGCAGGATCCACCGTCTTAGATAGCCACGCTGTTTAGGATGATGGACCCTGCAAAATTTGGAAGGAAAAAATACACAACTCGTCTACCCTATTGTAATTTTGCATAGTATTTTACTCGTTATGTAGAAAAAAAGCCTGGATAGTTACTAAATTATACAACTTAAATTCTAAATGGTTTTTAAATGATGCAATTTAGCATGAAAATTAGAAGGAAATAAAGTGCTTAAGCTACATAAGGATTTGGGCCTATTCCCATGTACTAAGAAGGCCCGGCTGAAGTCCCATTATTGGGTAATTCACTCTGGCCCAGCCCATTCAAACTAACTAGTGGTCACTGGACACAAGAGGGCACCACATACGCATATATATACTCCCTCTGGCCTTGATTGGCTTTGGTTAATCTCATTTGATCATGGACATGGTTGTTTTTCATCATATACTTAGGAGCGCAATTGCCAACAAAGTGCTAGCGTAAGTATAAGATGATTGTGATAATGGTAACGCAATGATAATTGGAATATTATCTTAATAACTAAACAAAAAGTCATGCTCATTATGTTGTTTAAACTATATATAATTTAAACAAATTAACCAGCACAAGCACTTTGATGTCCAGCCAACCACACACACAGGAAAAAAAACTTTAATCACTCAAGAAAAAGAATAATACATACATATGAAGACGCCGTCACGTTAATTGGTGAAGTTCTTCTTCTGAGCTCAGCTCATCTGACAGGCATCTTGATCCAGCCATTGGCAAAAGCGACCGCGAGGATGACGAAGGGAGTCGACATTCCGAATATGATGATGTAGGGTAGCGGCGTCTTCATGGGGTTCTCCCCTTCTCTCTCTCCTGCTGTTTGCCAATACCTGCAGCGGGCGTACCCACCCACTCAGCTGATCAGTGATTTTACCAATTAACTAATTAATTAATTAAATTAAATTGATTTTCCTAACGATCGACAAACTAGTACCAAGTACGCTTCAAGGATACGATGCAAAATGCTTAGTTAACTCTGGCTAATCATCTACGGTACGTTTTTCAGTAAATTAATTAATCAGACATTTTCACATGCATAATAAATTTCCATATATACGAGCGCGGTGTGCATGCGGGTGTCTGAGAACAGGTTATATATATAGAGAGAGAGAGATGTCACAAATATAGCGGATCGGAGCTCATGTGATTCATATTCCAAATATTTTTAAGCAGGAAGCACATGCACAGGGAGTAAGATTAATGGTAGAAAATTCGGGAAGTATATAGCAGCAGTAGTACTCACTGCTCTGGTTCTTGCTCTTTAGTAATAAATTTCTTCTTCTCGGCCCGCTTTGCCTCTCCATCTCCTCCACCTAGAAATAAATAAACATGCACGTGTGTCTGCTTCCATAACCAATATCATATCATAATATTAAAAGAAAAAGTATATATATACATGGATCCACTATAAATTAGTTAGTTAAGTTGATTGATTAAAGAAAAAGAAATTAAGATGTAAACATACATACCCAGCTTGGCTTGGATTTTGGTCGGTTTAGCAGTGGTAATGGTGGAGGTGGGAATTGGCAAGGATGGATATGATCTTGATAAGAAAGCAACACCAGAAATGGTTGAGGAGGGGAATATTGTTAATGCCTTACTCATTTGGCCTTAATTTTTGGTCCTGCAGGGAAATGGGAGAAGAGAGAGCTCAAGCATCACTCATATCTTACCCTCTTTTCTTCAGCAGCTGTTTGGATAAGGTGAGAGGTTCACCTTAGATTTTGGACCCGATCGAGTCCTACCTATCCCAGCCCCAAACCAACCACTCAACCGAACGCTTCTTATTTGGCTTGAGACGTACCCCTCGCTTGTCCCTTTAAACTACTATCAAGTTTGGTAATTATTATAAAACCCCTTCAAGTTTGGTGACTTGTTATGAAAACTCCTAACGTTATCATTTCATTAAGGAACACCCTACAGTTAGAAAAATCGTTAAAACTCCTACGCATTCACTTCCTGAACTATTTTTAGTCCGGCTTATCCCTTTAAACTATCACTTTCAGTATCTAGTCATCACTATTCATCCATTACATTATGAGTGTTTTAAAGGGATCTATGAGGGGAAATCAATAGTTTAAGGGGAAAGTTGGAATTGGAAACAGTCCAAGGAGTAGACTTTGACGAATTTAATAGTTCTAGAAGGTAAGATGACACTGAAAACTGTCACGCCCCGCGCCCTTATCGGAGCACAACGAGGCCGGCACACACCACTCTGACGTTGTCACAATATTGTGTAATGCCTATAATTATTGCCACTCATTTTTCGTTTATTTATCAAAGTAGGTCAAATTTAGAAAAGGTAACTTTTCATAATAAGGAACAAATATTAAAACCGATAAGAAGCTCATACTCGACAATTCATGTTCACAACCAATTTCTTGCTCACAACCCAGTTCACATCAACTACCTAGAAAAGAAAAACTAAAGCAATCAATTAGAGCGCATTCAGCAAGTACTGCTATAGGAATCCAAATGAACGGATTTATAAATAATAATTCACACGTAAGCAAATAAATGAAATGATAATCAGCTCAAAGAGATAGTCAAACTACCACATATTTGCTCTAACGCAACGGTTCAAAACCGTTGCGCTAGCCATGGAACCGTCTGTGAACACGAGTGAACGTGGGGACCACCCACGTGATATTCTCTGTTGGTGCAGCAGATTTGTCTCCGCATGATATTCTGAAGGCCCACCCGATTGTGTCTTTTGCATCTATATATAGCTTATTTCGGTGACCTATTTTCGGTGCAGGAGATTGATTTGTGCGAGGAGGTTTTGGCGGCTACTAAATTCTTTTGGCTGTGGGCGTGCAATTGAAGGCAGAGGAGAAATAAAATTCGCCAAGTGCAGAAGGGGAAAATCGACTACAAGGAGAAGATTTTTTCCGCAGAGGATTTTGACTGCATGTTCGTGAGCAGAAGTGAATTTGTGGCGGCTGACTTTGAGAAGTCGTTGACTTTTCCAAGTCTTTTGTGCATCTTTTGTAGAGAGATATTTGTGTGAGGGATTTGAGAGTTGTTTGAGGGTTTAGATTGAGTGATTATAAACCCTAGTTGTATTCTCTCCCTCTATTAGTAGATCTCCCCCTCCTTGCCCCATGGACGTAGGCAATTTGCCGAACCACGTAAAAATGGGTTGTACTGCTTTTGTGTGATTTGTAATAGCTTTTAGGATCCCTCGACAAGTCAGTTCTAGAACTAATGAGAGGAAGAGCCGATATCTCACTTTGTTGAGATATCCGCTTCAGATTCTTGTCTCCTTGGTGAGACAGGAATTCTTATTGCGATCTGACTCTCTTGTTGTGCTGCCGAAGTACTGTCAGAATTTCTGCTGCGCGCAACAAGTGGTATCAGAGACCAGATTTCAGATCTAGGGTGTTTTGGATTAGGTGGAGGAAGATTCAGTTGGAAGCTTGGTTCTTGGAGTTCTAGGCTTCGGTGGAGATAGCATTAGGAGTTGCCGTTGGAGATTTCGCTTTCCTCGTGTGGATAGGAGATCTATTTGGAATCTGATCTAGGGTTCAGTTGGGTGGTTTCTAATTCTATCAAATTTGTTCTTTCTCTACAATTTGGAGTTAGTTCGCAATGGGAGAAGAAGGTGAAAGCAGCAAATCGATGGCGAGTACAATACAAGTTGGTTTTCAGAACACTAAGATTAGTGTGGGGATGTATGATGGCAAAATCAACTTTGGTTTGTGGATGAGCGACGTACAGGATGCGCTCAATGCTCAGAATTTGGAAGAGACCATCATGGTCCACAAGAAGCCACCTAAATATGATGAGGCGGTATGGGAGAAAATGAATAGGAACGCTTGTGGGGTGATCAGGTCCTGTTTGGAACAGGAACTGAAGTATGATGTGATTGGGGTGACGTCTGCGATGAAGATGTGGGAAATTCTCAACAATAAGTACCTTACGAAGAGTGTTGAGAACCGGTTGTACTTGCTGCGTAGGTTATTCAGATTCCAGATGTCTAGAAGCACCTCGCTTGTGGTTCATGTGAACAACTACACTAAGTTGTTGACAGACTTGGCGAATGTTGATGAGAAGATATTGGATGAGTATAAGGCGATTATTTTGTTAGGCTCCTTACCGGATGAGGAGTATGATACCTTCGTGCTCACTTTGTTGAACGGAAGATCTTCTATCAGCTATAGTGAAGTGACTAATGCTTTGACAAATTACGATTTGAGGAGGAAGGATAAGGAGACTTTCCGTGCTAGTACTTCAGGAGAGGCCTTGTCGACGAGAGATAGAAGCCCATATCCGAAAGGTGGTAATAGAGGAAGGTCAAAGTCTAGAGGCCGCCACCAATTAGCAAAGAACCAATGTGCATTCTACAAGGAGCAGGGACATTGGAAGAGAGACTGCCCGAAGCTCAAGGAGAAAAAGAATGACAAGAAAAAGGGCCCGAAGGCCAATGAGGTGAATATTGCGAAAGGCGATGATTCCGATGATTCCGATGATTCGTGCTTTTCTCTACTGATTACTTCGGAGGTGAACCATGTGGATGCATCAGATTGGATGCTTGATTCCGATGCTACTTTTCATGTGACCCCTAGGCGAGACTGGTTTGCATCTTTTGAGAAAGTCGACGGGGTGTTGTTGTCATGGGAAATAATCAATCCTATGGCGTTTGTGGGATAGGTACCGTGCGGATTAGGATGCACGATGGAGTAGTCCATGAGTTAAAAGAGGTGAGATTTGTTCCTCAACTGAAGAAAAATCTTATCTCAGTTGGAGCTTTGGAGGCGAAGGGATTCAATGTGACTTTCGAATGTAGCGAAGGTTACTAAGGGATCATTGGTGGTGATGAAGGGAGTCCGCAATCGGAATTTGTATTATCTGAAGGGAAGCACCGAGATTGGCCAGGATTCATCAGACGAGGGGCATCCTGGACTACGTGCACACAGACGTTTGGGGTCCCACCAAGACTGCATCACTTGGTGGTAGACATTGGTTCGTCACTTTTGTAGATGACTATTCTAGGCGTTGTTGGGTGTACACCATGACGAAGAAGAGTGAAGTCCTAGATTTGTTTGTGGAGTGGAAGAAGAGATTGGAACTGCAGACTGGGAGAAAGATCAAGACGTTACGATCCGACAACGGTGGTGAGTATACTTCTGACCCCTTTCAGCAGCTATGTCGAGACGAGGGCATAGAGAGACACTTCACAGTTAGTCATACACCGCAGCAAAATGGAGTGGCAGAGAGGTTAAATCGGTCTTTACTAGAGAAGATCCGATGCTTATTGTCGTAGAGTGGTTTGGAGAAGATCTTTTGGGCTGGGGCACTTACGTATGCGAGCCACCTCATTAATAGGATGCCTTCATCTGCGATTGAGGGGAAGACCCTTATGGAGAAGTGGTCGGGAAAGCCAACACACGATTATGACCAGCTCAAGGTATTTGGGTGCCCTGCATATTATCATGTTAAAACTGATAAATTGGAACCTCGAGCTAGGAAGGCCATATTTGTAGGATTCAAGCGTGGTGTCAAGGGATACAAGCTTTGGGATCCGGTGGATAAGAAGATTGTGCTGAGTAGGGATGTCACATTCGATGAGGCTTCTATCTTGAAGCTTCCCAGCTCTCATCAGGTGGAGAGCGATCCGACGGAGGAGATATCGCAGGTGGTGGAGATCGATACAGCTCTACATTGTCCAGATGGTACAGTATCCATGCAGGTGCCGACTGAGGTGACGCCAGGCGAGCACGACGGTGACACGGAGGATACGAGTACAAATGTGCAGGATCAGGAACCGGCGGCTCAGGTTCAGGATTCTATTGCGGCTCGGAGACAGAGGAGAAACATACAGATGCCAGCACGGTATACCGACATAGTTGCGTATGCACTTTCGGTGGAGAGTATCGATGAGATGATACCTACTACTTTCAGAGAGGCCGAGCAGTGTTCGGAGGTTGATTCGTGGTAGGTGGCTATGCAGGAGGAGATGGAATCTCTTCATAAGAACGATACATGGGAGCTTGTTAAGCTTACAAAGGGGCGGAAGGCAATTGGTTGCAAGTGGGTATACACGAAGAAGGAGGGCATTGAGGGCACTCCATTGAGGTTCAAAGATAGGTTGGTTGCGAAGGGCTATGCACAGGAGGAAGGTATTGACTATAATGAGGTTTTCTCTCCGGTGGTGAAGCGCTCTTCGATTAGGATTTTGCTAGCTTTGGTGGCACAGTATGGTTTGGAGTTAGATCAGTTGGATGTGAAGACGGCATTTCTTCATGGTGATCTTGATGAAGAAATATATATGACTCAACCATTTGGATTCCGAGCTGCAGGGAAAGATAAGTTGGTTTGTAGGTTAAAGAAATCGCTATACGGTTTGAAGCAATTTCCTCGATAGTGGTATAGGTGATCATTCGTATACTCGGAGCCAGTTTGATCCTTGCGTATATTTTCACAAGTTGAAAGGAGGTGCGTACATTTATTTGTTGCTCTATGTCGATGACATGTTGGTTGCCTCTATTTCCAGGTCGGCTATAGATGAATTGAAAGTTCAGCTTTCAAATGAGTTTGAGATGAAGAATTTGGGCGAGGCGAAGCGCATTCTAGGGATAGAGATCGGTAGAGACAAGAAGAAGGGCAGAATTTGTTTGACACAGGTGGCTTATTTGAAGAAGGTTCTACAGCGATTCCATGTTAGCATGGATACGAAGCCAGTTAGTATACCATTGGGAGCCCATTTGAAGCTTTCAGGTGGTCTTTTACCGAAGTCAGTTAAAGATATAGAGTTGATGTCGAAGACTCCATATGC